GACAGCCTGGTGATGGTAGTGGGGGTGCCCAACATAGGAGGACTTCCTCCTGGTCAGCTCTGTAGACAGGGAGGGAATGAGGCCTGTCAGTAGAGGTAAGCCAGCAGGACTTGGCTCAGGAAAGGAAGGTGGAACTAGAGGCCTGAGAAGACCGGGGAATGGGCTCCAAAGTACGGGTTCTGGGCCTGCAATATCACCCCTGCCAAATGGCCCCATGTGGCACTCACATGGAAGAAGCTATAGAAGATGGCTTGGAAGACCACGAGATAGGGTGCATGGGAGCCCCGTGGCGGGCGCCGCTGAAGTCCCTGCTCCTCCTCCTTGTAGTGGGAATATTCATAGTACTTCTGCGCCATCCTGGACCACAAAGGAGACAAGGCCCTTCCCACCTCTGCCATGCCTCTGCTTCCTGCACCCAGAGCTTGGGCTGACCAGCCCGTGTCTCACAGATGGGGAAACTGAGGCCCAGAGGGCAGAAGGAGCTTGCTCAAGGTCTCCCAGCCAAGGCTGGCAATGCAGCACAGGCTTGGCCAGGTATGCAGCCCCCCACCCCACTGCTCAGCATGCTCACCTGGTGATATAGTTGCCTATGGAGGCCCAAAGAGGCACGATGGCCATACCCAGGGCCACAGCTGAGGGCACAAGCGTGTAGTAGCGCTCCCAGTAGTTGGTGGAGACAAAGAGGGCGTAGATACCCACGGCCAGAAACATCATCCACTTAGTGCCAAAAAACCTGTGGGCAGTGGGAGGGACGCTGGCACCATGGGCCTACTGGACTGCCACGGCCTGAAACCAGACAGGGCTGCAGCTCCACTTTCCAGCTCACGAGTCTGTGTGAGGTGGGGAAAGACCCCTCACCTTGGAGTCAAGGACCCTAAGATTGGAGAGAAGCAGGGGAGTGCGGCCGTGGGCACAGCCAGCCCTCACTCATGTCCTGGGGTCTCTGGCTCTCCAATCCCCCCTTCCCCTCCCAAGCNCTGGGGTTGGGTGTGCTCCCAAGAAGAGGGGCATCTCTCCTCCCTTCCTGCCCTACTGCCCCGAGGCTCAGGGAAAGCGCCAACCCACTTCCCATCTCCAGACATTTGCCCTGCACTGACTGAGCTCTGACCATATGCACAGCCCCAAGAGAGATCCCACTGGGAGTTTCGGCCCAGACAGCACCTCTTCCGGGCAGCCGTCCCTGCCCACTCCCTCAACCCCCATTCTGGGTCAGATGTCCTAACTACACACTACTTCAGGGCCCTGTGCCTTACCCACCCAGAACTGTGGGATGCTGGGCTTCCAGCTCTGAACCCTGTGAGTGAGGGCCAGGTGCCTTTTGGATGATGGAATGGGGGAGGTAAACAAGCTTTGGGGACCCCCCATGAGGACTAACCGCAGCTGTGCACGTTGTGCAGCGTGTGGTTCAGGTCATACAGATAGTGGTTCAGGAAGTAGATCATGGGCAGCTGGGCGCAGGCAAAGCTCAGCTGTGGGCAGGACAGTTGGGGCCACACTCAGGTGTGGAGCCAGGCAGGGGACTGGGCATGGCCTGGGGAGGGGTGTCAGCACAGCCTTGGAGGAAAGGAGCCCTCCCACCTTTGGGGACAGCCTGGTGATGGTAGTGGGGGTGCCCAACATAGGAGGACTTCCTCCTGGTCAGCTCT